CGTAAAAAATGCAACAGAGTAAATTAGGTCTTTATTTGCAATATTTTTGCTCTCTTTCAATTTTTCTGTAGATCTCTTTATTTCGTAGATATTACGTTTTTTTTAGTTTGACTTGCGTGTAAGGACCACATTCTTTGAGCCCTTAAAACCCAAAAATCTCGTGAAAATAAAGAGTTCAAGACTGTTCAACTGTAGAGGTTAATTTTTAGCTCGTGTAATTTCCTACAAATTGATAGTTTTTATTTGTATGATTTTAGACATAGATTTTGTTGTTAATTTTTTTCCGAAAAAATTAGCTAACTTCTTACTTTTGTCATAACTCCGCGAGTTTTTGAGCTACGAACTTGAAAAGACCTTTTTAAAAAAAGACATTTAAAAGATCTTTTCAAGCACTTTAAAAACGGTCATATTCATTTTCTTCGGAAAATGTCTTCTTTCGCGATTATTTTTAGTAGTGGGAACTATCGAATGAATACTATCGAAACATTCGATAGTTGCAATTCATTCGAATAATTCGATAGCTAGTAAGAAAACATTCGTTGAAAACTATTCGAATAAAAATTATCGAATAGACGCGTCATCTGCCTTGAAATATTGTATTCTAGTAATTCTGCAGCAAAAACCATTCATTTATAAAATTCATTCATTTATGAAATTCATTTATTCGTCAGGATCGATTATAATAAAATATTAACTGGATTTTAGTTGTCGCCCGGCGACGTAGGTTTGTTTCCCAGAAACCCGACAGCGGTCGGTGGCAATGCTATGAAAGAAGGCGGCATCTTTGATTTTTTGCGGAGTAGATAAAAATAAGGACACATTATTTTTTTTATTGAGGTGCTAGTATTTACACAAAAACTACATTATGAAAGGCGCTGTTGCCATATATTGGTATTAGTTGATATTAGCAAAGAATATTATTGTCTGGCTTTAGTTAGTTAGGGTAGTATGTCTATATATTTTGCATTTTTTTATTAATATTCTGTTGTTACACTGCAATAATACTTGTTATTTTGGATGTAGGAAAATGATTTTTAATGCTTTTAAGCAAAGACTGGTTTAATAAATAATAATAACAGTAATAATTTGTTATACCTATTAACGACAAAATTTAAAATCATTTAATATGAACATTTTTTTAAGTAGGTGGCAAAATATAAACAACAAATTAAATGTCAAAATTATTTATATTAGATCCTATTTAAAAATAATATAGACTCTAAATTTTTTGGCAACGGTTGTTTTTTAAATAATAATAATTACAGAACTAATTTGTTATATTAACAACAAATTTTAAAATCATAAAATATCAACATTTATTAATTTTCTAAGCATGCAGTGTAATGGAAGAAAAATATAAATAAAAAATTAGAAATCAAAATTATTTATATTAGGTGCTTTATATTACTATTTAAAAATAATATTATTTACTTTTACTGGCATTTACTTTAAAAAATAAATGAAATATTTCTTCGCAAAAAACTACATGTAAGAGAATTAGCATAAACAAAATACAAACATCGATAACTTTTTTTAAAATTGGCACGTGTAAAACTTTCAATTTAATTTTCTCACCCCATAGTTTGAGTTCGATAACCCCATTTACTTAACCACATTACTTAAATATGATTATTAAGTTCAACTAATTCATATTATTAAAACATCTAAAATACAAATATCTATTTTTAAAATTAATTGTAAGTTCATCTCATCTCTCTTAAAAATTGCTACTTCTCAAAATTTTCCATTAAAAAATAGACCATATACCATATAAAATTAAATAATTGAAAGATCGGGCTACGGAAAATCACAAACATTTTCGGAAAAATGTTGACCACCTGCGCACGCACAAAATAGTCAATTAAAAAAAACTACTATTTTAGTATTTTAAATATTTTAATAAACGCAAAAATAGCACAGTATTTATACGGCGAAGTTATAAAAATTTGGAAGAACTAATAACGCACTGACGCACACAAAAATCAAACGGATACTAAATTTCATTTATCAAAAGCATTCGATAGTCGTGGCTCAACGATAACCATTCAGTGGCACGGCGAGTTTATCACGTATGCTCTAGTATACAAATGAATGAATGATTTTATTCGAATAAAACCATTCGATAGTTGAAATCATTCATTCAGTAACCATTCGATAGTCTAATTCATTCGATAGTTCCCATCGCTAATTATTTTACGGTAAAAGTTGCAATTTAAGTTTTCAAAAAATAACTCATCAATCAATCACCTTTAGAGAGTGATAACTCGGCTATTATTATACCTACGGTAATCAACAAAATGAATCGATTCGTTATTCCAAAAGCTTCATTTTTGCTTTATATGAGTTTTGCGATAAAACGCAAGATTTTCGAGTTATTTATAAAGAATGGCAGAAAAATATGCAGTTTTTAGATAAAAATCAACATTTTCAATCCTAAGTAACTCGGAAAATATTAATTTTGTGAAAAAATGTTATAGTACATTTTTTGCTTATTCATCCCTTTATTGATTTTTGTAATTAAAATGGGTGATTTATTTTTCACCCACGAGAAGGGGTGGCACTCACCCCCAGGGCGAAAGCATACATCGCTACTATGTAACTTTTGTTTCTTACATATATCTCTATTCACTGTTAAAATTTCACGTCAGTCGGTGCGGATGTCAAGAATTCGCAGGTAATACCCTATTTCTATCCTCGCTTACTGGCCTATTAATAAGGTAAAACAAAAATCTTCAAACTTTCTGTATGATTATTTTTAATTTGTTATTAGTTTTTACGTATGTTATGTTTATTTATGTTATGTTATTTAAAATCAAAGAATCGATCAGTATTTCGGTCAGAAGTATCACTGACCGTTATCAAGTGTGAACTAAATTAAATCCTAAAATTACTGAGCTTATATACTAGAGCCAAGCATAGACCCGTGAATTTGTTGGGTCCAGTCAAACATGAGGTTTTCCACTAAGAACAACTGCATTGGAGCGTTTTATGTGGTTGTCATATTGTTAAAATATCCATACTTGGTTTGCTAAAGATTTTATTCTTGTTAGAAATGAATACGGCCTCTTTAAATTTGCGCTTTTTCCAATGGGGTTCTTTGTGGACAACCCGGGATTCCGACCATTTTATGTTGTGGCGCTTGGACTTTGGAGCACACATGATCTGAAATGCCCGACTTCATTGTTTCACCTTTTTGCGTATGCTTTTATGTTCGTCAAGTCGTACATCGAGAGGACGTTTTGTCTCTCCAATATACGACTCACCGCACTCGCAAGGTAGCTGATAGATGCACTCTTTCTCTTGGTTTGATGATTCAGGTTTTGTTTTTGCCTTTTTAAGCTTCTGTATAAGGGTATATAGTTACCCTTGTGGTAATCCAATTTATGTTGTCTGGATTTTAATGAGCGTGACAGAGAATAATATAAATGACCGGTTGGACAGTTGGTGCAGTTTGACAGAGAGACAAAATCAAAAGCGGCATACAGTGTTGCCGTTTTTTTACGATTGTAGGAAAATATATGTAGAGAAATATAAGCTATTTTTTTAAAACTTTCATGTATACTACTGAAATGATGATAATATATGTAAACTAAATATAGTCTATTACAGATTACAGCTGTAGTAAATAAATGAGTGAAAAAAATAGTGAAAAATAAAGTCTAAGGTTGGACCTTAGATGCAACATTTTTCGTAAACGCCTACTTGTGCGATTTGAAATTTTGATGCAAAATCCTGCAATACCACATAGAAGAAATGTGTCGACCTAATTTTTATCTCTTTTTAATACATTTGATTTTCCATTAAGCTGTCTACATCACTGTCTTACACGTTAAAATCCAGATCGCACAGTTTCGATGACCAAATCGGTATATTTTATTTAGAACTTTTAGCTCCTTGAATTGATATTTAGTTCCTGAAAATTGACAGATACCACATAAGTATCTCTTAATCTAAAGTTCTTTAATAAAAATACTTTGATTGTTTTTTAGATGGAAACTTCATATATTTATCTGAAGACTTAATGTTACTAACGGGATTCGTTGATTCACTCTATGTATGCATCAAATTACAACTATGGTCAAAAAGCTGGTCTGGTCTTTTTAAAGATGTAACGGACACCAAAACATTTGGAACACCAGCTAAACTAGACTCGGTAACAAAAAGGATGAATAAATATTGTCGGTTCTATCAATTCTATTGCTACTCAGGAATTGCTGTGTACGCTTTGACGTCTATCTTCATGACAGGTAGTTTATTTCTTACAATTAATTAATAAATTAAAGTATACATACTGTTGCCATATTAAAAAAAAATGAAGTAAAGACTTTAAAACAGAAATAGTTTAACACTATCGTAAATTTCTAATACTGAAAACTAATATAAAAAAATAAAATAAAAAAAACATAAAAATAATGCTCAAAAAACGAGAATGATTACAGTTGAGGGTTGGGACCTTTGGTGTTAGAACAGCAAAATAAAACACTAATTCACAACAATACAGCAAAACATATTTTTAAACATTGGACGCGAGTTTCGCTAACCATGTTAGTAGCATCATCAGCAGGTGGTTAAAACCCAATTTTAATCTCGGTTTTCATCATTTCCTGATAATGCCAACGTGGTTAGCGAAACAACGTAAAACATACGAGTACAAATTACAGTAGGTTTCTGTATTTTCACATTAGATGTTTATATATAGGATACTGCGAAAGAATTAACAAGGAATACAACTTACACAAAATATGTGGAACTGTAACACCAATATGGTGGCCTTCTCCTACAATCAATCCAATATCAAAATGGCTGGTAATATGTTTTCAAATTTATTCACTAGGTAAGTTATATTTATAATGTGTATATAGAAAACTACGTTAAATCAATTTTAAGAGATTTTTTTATTTATTAAGAATGGCTATTTAAAACAAAATATTAAAATTTCAGTGTGCTACATCCCTCCATCTGGTGTAGTATGTTTTATTGGCTTTGAATGTGCTTTAATAATGGCTGCAAAAATCGATCATCTCAGAACCCTATTAGAAGGAGTTTTTCAAAACACCAGCTACGACATCAAGAAACAGAAATTAAAAGTGTGCATTTTGTATCACCAACAAATCATAAGGTAATATTATATAACTAACCAAACATTGAAAACGTTGTGCAACTGTAAATTAAGGACAAAATATATATTACTAAAAAAGAGAAAATTCAGTATGAATCCATTGTAAAGTGTATAAACACATGTTTATAATGATTCACACTGTTGTTTAATAAATATCGTCCTCCTCCATTCTACTACCATAGTAGAAGGAAAAGAGTAGTTGCACTCTCCCAAATATTTTTTGCCAGTTTTTACAATCTGTCGAATATCGGCAGATTGCAGAGCGTTTCAGTTGAGTTTCGCCCGTCGACTTGCGAGGTTCGAGCGTTGCGTCCCAGCACAGAGACGGATTGACCAAAAATTAGTGTCTTACTGTGTGCTGCTATTGGTTGTAGTAATATTTCAAAAAATTGTTCTCTGAGGTTTTTTTTTGATAGTCAATTGTGATCATGTTTGTGTTCAGATTAATTTCTCATGACCGATTACTACTTAATAATTCGGTATTATTTTCATTTAAACCTCATTTTTTTATCGATTTTACTTTTGACAACCATCCCTTGCTTGCTGTTTAACGAACTGCATCATCATTGAACAAGAATTTTCTAGTACCGAAAGTATCAAAAAAAACCTGGAAATCCCGGTTCCTCAGAGGCATGGTACCGAAATTACCGGTTCCGAAAAACAGCTCCGGTTCCGGAAACGCTATAACGTACCATAAACATAAATCGCCCTATACAGGGTGAGTCTTAAATAAGCGCAAATATTTTAGAGGTAGTGTATTTTGGCCCCAGAAATAGGAGGATTTTTCTGCGCAAATTTTTGTTTTAAAAATTTGGATTTTTTTTTAGGTTTTAGTTAGACAACATAATTTCTTGATAATATGGTAACTAGGGTTCAGAACCGGAAATTCCCGAAAAAAAAACGGGACTCCAAATTGTTAATTACCGGTTTTTTCGGTAGGTACCGTCGGGACTCGGTAACAATAACTAAAAAATTATTCTTTTATTACGTGAAAAAATGATGTGTAGAACGTATTATTTTTTACTTAAAATCAAAAATGGAGTTAGCAGGTTATCACTGACGCGTTTCACTGACGATATGCTTCGACAATATTGCAATTCACAAGTATGTCTCCTATACGATGTGGCAAATGTTTATGTGTCCAACGTTGGAACCATGTGTGGGACCATCTTAACCATTAATGTTAAAAAAAGTAATATCAGCAGTTAAGGGTTAATATATTCTAGTTTACTGGTAGTTTTAATATTGAGACTTAAAAAAATAACTTCGAGATACCTTATTTACTGTAATTTATTTAAATAATACTTTTTACCCTCCTTTATTTTAGATTAAACGAGAGAATAAGTGCATTAGTGACTGAAATGCTTGGCCAGATATCGTTTGTAGCTGCTATTGTAATTAGCTGCATCGGAAATGTGATAGTAAAGGTTGGTGATATGAAATATATAACATTAAGATAGTGGATTATGATTTTCTCTATTATTATTGACTGGCCATATTTCATTTTTGATTGTGACTTTTAGCAATACTCTATCGGCGCTTTAGTTTACATGGGTGGTTTTGTTACAGCCGTATACATGATGTGCCTAACTGGCCAAATAATTAAAGATGAGGTAAGAAATTTAGATATATTTATTATTTATGAACAAGAAAGAAATATTATATATGTTTCCTTTTATTTATAGACACTAAAGGTCGATAATATAGTTTTTAACCTTAACTGGTACACTGACCTGAACTTGGCTAAGGATATGGTATTAATAATGCGACGCAGTCAGAAACCTGTAAATTTACGTTCATTTTTATTTGGCGTATTTGATTACCAGTTACTTGTAGTGGTAAGTAAAAACTAACCAATATAGTAGGTATACTATCTAAAAAGATTTTTTTTAGTTCTCAGTTTTGGTTAACATGCATTTATTGAGAAGTCTCATTTTTTCTGACTTCTTTCATGAGTTTATGCTAATAATTATAAAACATTTCTTTTACAGATCATCAAGACATCATATTCATACTTCACATTGATGACCCAGAGAGGATAAATTGTATATTTTAATCAAGATTTGAATATTACATTCAATCATGATATATTACTTTATTCGAAGCCATGACATTGAAAATAAAATATATATTTTTGTAATATGTATCTTGCATAGGGTTTATTAAAGTATGATGCACAATTACAAAATAGTTTTGTCTTTATACTAATGTTTCCCGTGGTTTATTTAATTATTAGAAATGTCTATTATTCTCCGGTATTGTATTCTGCGCACTATAAAACTTTTCTTGAAAAAAAACTGGGTATATACTGGCTAATATTAAACATTTACAGAGGCCTCTTGTGGTACCAATACTACGTTGGGCTGGATCAAATTATATTCAGAAAGTCGCAGTACCAAACTTCAAGAAGTATGATATGAATAGAAACAGTTCCAAATGGGTTAAAAGAGTTTTGCATTAAGTACTCCAATAAGGAAGAAATAAAGACATTTTGATAGTGTACAGAAGCTAGAAATCTTTGATCTATAACAGGATATGGCTAAAATTATGGTACAATTCCTATCTTGGAATATGATGCCTCTTTATCCATTGCTAGTGGCATGTATAATACAGAAGAAGGCTTTTAGATTGAGTATCTTTTAAAAGTTCTCTGAAAAAAAACAAAAAAAGATCACGTTATCTTGTAGAATATCGAATGACTCCGGCTGAGGTAACCGTAAGGTGGAGGCTGGAGGATCTGTCTGCATTCTCTCCATGTCTTTAACTGCCACATCTTTTAACATGTTAGCTTACTTCTAACTGTGATTAAAGCATACTGATTCTAGTACAGAGAAGATTTTATAGAAATGTGTATACACATGTGTAAGCACATGAGTAAACTAGCCTGTCGTCAGCCTTTTCAAAACAATGCTATAAAAATCGGAGATGAGCTGTTGTAATATGTAGCGGAATTCAATTACCTCGGCAGTTTGATTTCGGAAAAGGCCAATATCGACTCTGAAATTCAGCACAGGATTAGCAGCGCATCAAGAGCACTCTGGAAATTAAAAGACAGGGTTTTCTACAATCATGACTTGAGCACAAAAACGACACTTGCGGTGTACTGAGGGATAATAATTCCCACCATGTTATATGGAAGCGAAACCTGGGTGCCGTACCGCCGACACATGAACGCATTAAACAAGTTGCAACAGAGACATCTTAGACAACTCTTAAGAATAAAATGGTTCCATCAGTCTCAAACGTATCGGTCCTTGAAAAAGCTAACTGCGAGAGTATTGAAGTCATCATTACAAAGTCCCGCTTAAGATGGGCTGGTCACGTATGCAGAATGCAAGAAAACCGAATACCAAAATCTCTGCTTTATCACGTATCGGGCTTTTCAGTCACAGAAAAGCTCATAAAAAGAAAACGCCTTGCGTGACCATCTTCTGATGCGTGTCAAATACTCGTCAGCGAGTAATGGCGGTATGTATGTATGTATGTTTTCAAAACGCTAATTGCTAGTCTAAAATGATACACTTTGCCTATTTTGGCTAGTGAGTATTGCATGTTACTTCTAGATCATCACATAAATAAATCCGTACCATTTATAAACGACATCTTTTTCTATATTGTGCTCCATATTTCTTCCACTGAAGAAGAAAATCTCAACATTTTGTTTGCCCTCGTATAATTAACAGGTAGGAACTTTCATTTTTAATTTAGAGAGAGGTACTAAAAAGTCAAATAATCTAGCTACGTATTGCTTCAAAAATCATCAATATCGGCCGTCTAGAACAAAATATATTAAACTTTAAAATACATCAAAATTTTAAGGTGCCCGTTTTTGGTGCCGGTGAGTGTAGATGACACAACGACCTGCAGAGGATCTAACTGTTTACATCCTTTGCATCCCTTAAACCGGATGTGAAGCCGGTTCAACATGTGAATTTTCTGACGGAAAGATGCACAGGGGGTCAATAGAACCCAATATCGAAGCAAAATTTACGGAACAAAAACTCATACTATATCACGCAAAAGAACGAAAGTGTTTCGAGGAAGAACAATGGGCGAGTAACAAGCCGTCGCCGTACTTACGTTCCATTACGAGAGCAGTACCGAGACAATTATTATATTAAGATAGGATCGTGGTGGTACCGAAAAGGGTACCATTATGTGCCGCGACCGAGAATCCATCGGCCTCGACCGACCACGGATGGGTCTCTTTGGTAATTGCGTCGATTGGAAATGGGTATTGTGAGGGGTCGCAGGTCGTGCGAAGTGTCCTGCCGAGTGATTTGTCGCGCCGGCGGCGGCTCGGTACGCGTCTGGTACCGCGACCGGCCTCACCTACGCCGAGGCACCGTGATAAATAGTGCCGGTGGTGCGGTGGTGGTACTGCAGGGCGATATCCGCACGCACGCGTATTTTTATCTAATAGAGATAACCAAATATATTTTTTCAAAGATTTTATTAAAGTCAGATTTAGGCACTGTTATTTTCCTTCTTATAGTGTCATGCTCTACACTGTAAAATGTGCCTGTATTTTTACTAGAATAATTGTGGAACATTTAAGAAAAAAACACAATTAAGGCCATGTAAATATACAGTTTTTCAGTAATTTTAAATAAATTTGTGATTATACTCCATGTTTACACATCGGATCGTAATTATTTCTAATATTTAAAATAAAATCACATAAAAATTACAATTTGTTTGATAAATACCATCAACATACTGAAAGTTACGTTAAAAATACAAAACCCTGTAAATTTACAGCAAGCTTTATAGTAATATTCGCCCAGTTTTCGGTCGATACGCAAGGCATATGATGGGGAAGACGCCATTAAAATCATTAGCATTGGCATTTTTGTTTTTTTTGCAGTGGAAAAGTGTTTTAAATTATAATTTAGGTAAGTACTTTAGTAGTTAATAATAGGCACTATGTTTAGATGTGATTTTTGTGGCCAAATATTTAATTTACTTAGCAAATATAATGCTTATTGGCTTTTTGAATGAGTGAAAAAATCCTTTCAAAAACTGGGACATCCAAGTCAATTTTGAAGTCAGTTTTTTTTGGTCCGGCCGTACATAGACGTGTAATCCACGTGTCCAAGAATCTCGCAACAAAATTATTTGTTACATTGACTTTAATGTCGGCGATCAAACTTGACAACAATTGTACATTTTACAGTAAACATAAATAATAGAAACTATTGCTTTAAACTTTTTTTTAGAAAAGTAGCCACTATAATAATAATTAATAATATAATAAAAAAGCAATAAGTACATTTTATTTGGGATTGCTCGAATCCTGGTCAATATCTATACATTTCCGCACTAAGGGCGGAAAACAAAAGTTTATTTATCGATCACTTGCCGTTATGTCAATAATGACAAGCGTATTTTATGGGATTTGCTGGTATCACCATTATGGCATAACGGCAAGTGATAGATATTTGAAATTTACTTGTCCGCACTATAGTATAAAAAAGTACAAATTTTTGAACTAAAATGCATGGGGAAAAGTGTACTTTGTATAACTTTGCACACGCTCTTAGAAAAAAAGCATTTTTAAAAATATTTAGTACATACAATACATTAACATGTTCAATTTTAGAACCAAGTGCAAACCAGAAACTGTATTATGTGGCCATGGAAAGGCAAATCATAATGAAGACGGATATGCCACTTTTAATGAAGCCTTTGAAGTATGTTACTCTGTCTGTACTATATATTTGGAGTCAAGTTTCAAATAAATGTTAGCACAAGTTTTGAATTGGTCCAAAATTATATACTTGCCGATCATCCGGATTACGGATCGAAATCTAAGAAGGTCTGCATAAAGTTGCGATGAGTCTAAAAAATCTGCGTCAAAAAAATGTTTTACTTTAATTAAGAAATTAACGGACATAAAACTCGAGTAGTTTTAGGAGTCAAATTCAAATACGTACATATTTATGTTTTTTACTTTACCTATATTTACCTATTTTATTTTTTACTTTTTAAGCGCAACTTGAAAACTTTTCTTTTGTAAAATTAAATATTTCCACATTTTTTATACCTATTTTGAGATAACTCAATAATAAAATTTTGTTACGAAATGTTCTGTTGCTTATTTATATATTTCTTTAAGTTAAAAAAGTATGTTTCGGAAAGTTAGTTTTTTAGTATTTTTCAGACACAGTGTGTTTTGATAAAAATAGAGGCGTTATATTGCCTCCAGACACTATTGTTTTGTTGTCTATTCCTTACTTTTTCTATTTTCAAGGTCTGCAAGGAACGGCTTTTGACACCTGTCTTGTTTTTAGCTTAAAAATAATAAGCTAAAATTGGTTTACTACTTAATCGTTGTAATTTTACGATATAATCACAAACAAAAAGCAGAAAATTAAATAAATTATTTTGGCTTTTTTTACAAAAAACATTGTAAATTTCCAAAAGGAATTTAAAAGAGGTCTAAATTTACAACAATTATTGTTGCAAAAATACAATTTTTATACAGAAGGATTACCCAATGTTTGTAACATAAGTGGAAAAATACCGGAATTGTACATAAAACAGTAATATTACTATGATACTTTCATCAAATCTACTCGGATTTTCCCAGCATTTTAGAAGTAAATTTACGTGCTATAAAATACGATACATTTACGTCAGGGTATGAAAAATACAGATTACTGTAATTTTGCAACAATAATTGGTGGCCAAAAGTTACCAACATTATTTGTTGTGATTTTACGACATTTTCATTTACAGTGTATAGAGACAGGAAGGTCCCATTACAACTATCATCGGTATTACTATTGGGGAAGAAATCTAAATTTAGCAGTTGCAATATATGAACGCTAGGCTTTCTGTCTTCAAAACTTGATGGGCAATAAAGAACCGTTCACTGCACAAATAGATTTAAACTCCACTTTTTGAAAAAAAATTTGAAAAAAAAAAGATTTTTCGAAACATTAACGGGATAATAATAACATTAAACACAATAATTCTTTATATAGCCACTGAGTAATTAATAATTTTTTTAATTATTAAGTAAAATTGTATCGCCGTA